GTTGACCACAATTGATACCAAATGTTTTTTATAAATTTTGAATTTTTTTCTTTATCATTTAAGGAAAATTTATTTGAAAATAAAATCAATACAGACACTTGTTTTGTAAGATATCAGGAGTGTCTGTTTAAAAATTGATGGGTTTTTCTGGCCTTATGATTAACATTATGATGCACCACATATTTTCCATTTCTTGGACTCCTCTTGCCCAATTGAAATACTGCTAATTCTTCAGCTTCTTTATAAATGCAATATATGTGATGCTTAGATTGCAATACTTTAATCAAATGTGAGTTTCATTTGCTTGTTTCAAGATTGAGGGTTATATTGGAAGTTTTGAAAAAACTTTTTCTAGACAAAAACCATTCTTTTTGAAAATTTTTATAATCCAAATTAAAATCAGGGATTTATTAATCTATATTAACATAAGGATTAATTCTAAAACACGATGACAGCATATGAACCAGAGGAACGTTTTCATAGATTTTTTTAAAAAGAATTTTCGTAGATTCCTTTAAAAAGAGTTGTTGGCACTTCCTTTCTTGTGCCAGTGTCATAAGCTGTTTTATAGAAAACTTGAGCAACAGTAAGATTCTATTCCTCTAAATCTTTTGACTCTCTTGTAGATAGAATGCCCTGTGCTCGACTGAATAGCTTTAATAGAGAAAATTTGCTATTCTCACAGTTTGAAAATCTTACGAAAACAATTAAATAGTCAAACTTTTTACCAGATACTTGCTTCATAAGCAAACCAGTATAACCATCCCAGTGAAGAGTCAAATAGTCTAGTTTAAATTTTGTTTTAAATTATGTCATTATATTTTTTGTCATGATTGGCCTATTTTATGTGTTCTTTTAATTGTATTTATTTAAATGTTCACATATTTTGTTTTAACAACATCTAAAAAACATTTTAGAATTTATCAAGAGAAAAAAAATCAATTTTTTCTAAAGAAGAAAAACAACCTAAAACCAGAATTGCAGAAGGATTTATAATTACCTGTGACTTTGATCTGTCAGCTAATACTGCTATTACTTAATGACAACTTCAAAAGAGCCCTGAGAATCAGAGCACAAAGAACTTCTCAACCTAGAAAAAAATATTTACTTTTATATATACTGATGCTGAAATTAGTTTCTTCATCGTTGAACTTTCATCTCTTGACTCTCAATTTTCTTTTTCCTCTCTTTTTCTTTTCCTTCTTTTTTTTTTTTTTTTTAGAAACTTAACACAAGAACACTTCTACACATCTTTTTCATCTAGTTTTCTAGTTTTTAAAAAATATTAACATTTTTTTTTTTTTTACAAGCTTATAAAGCTTTTTATTCATTGCTAGCTTTTCTATTTCTCTTGGTCCTCTATTTTTTTTGAAAAATGTTTTATACATTACTTTTTCTATTTATCATTTAGCTTGAGATTTCTTTCAGTGATATTTCCTCATTACAAAAAAATCAGATTTAACAGTTTTTATTGTTACTTTAGCTGCTAATTTTTATATCAAAATTAAATTAAAAATATTGTAATAAAAATAGTAGTAACGATAAATATCTCTAGAAATCTGTGCACATCTCTAGGCAAAGTATTATTATATTCAGAGAGGTATATTATAGATGGAAAGAGAACAAAGTAAAAGTAGGTCATTTTTCAAGGAACTGTCATTGTAGTAACATAATTTTAAATAAAATACTGTATAATTATCATAATTTTTAATTAACCAATCAGATTCTACTTTTTTTAAAAAAACTATACAATGATGTTATTTCAAAATGTCATAAGTAATCATAGCATTGCAAATAAAAGATTTGGAAAAGTTGTTAAACAATATTTACTGATTTAGACTCAGTTTATAGTTATTTTTTTATGTTTTGTTTTTTGAAATGACTATTAATAATGTTCTAGATTAGAATTAATATATGTTTAGATTAGAGTTAGTTCTCGCTTTGCTCTTGTTCTAGCTAGTTTATTATACTGCCTGATATCTTCAAACAAATGTTTAACTACCCAAATTTCATCAATTGGTTTCAATATCTCTACATAAGTTTTTTAAATATGGTTCTGATCTTGTTTTTGATTCTTTATCTCTGATTTTGTTCAGAATTGAAATTAAAGTCAATATTTTACACAAGTTTAATTTTTAAATTTTACCCAAGTTTTTTTATTAGGTTGGTGTAGATTTTACTGCTTCTAACCTTGATCCATTAAATCCTTCATCTCTTCATTATATTAATCCCTATCAACGAAATGAGTATGAGCAAGCACTTATTGCAGTGGGAGAAGTATGTCAAGACTATGATAGGTAAGTTGCTAATGGATTTTTATAATTTGTAGCATTGTAAAACTTCTAGCATTGTTTAATAAAGTGCATTAATGAAAAGAATTAATAACATGGCAATTTTACTTATTGCCAATTTTATAATTTTATTTTTAATTTTATTGTACTTGTGTGTTACCTGTCATCATTATATGCATGTTAGACATGTTTGCTTTTAAAGAAAAAAT